GGAAGTTTTGAGGGCTTGCGAAATCAGCATTCACACTTCCACACCTCTGTTGGCCAGATGCGCGTAAAGGCAAAGCTTGTGGGTTTGGGATTCAAACATCAAGTTGCAGATGTCAAAAATGCAGGGTGGCACTTCGAATTCACTGTTCCAAATCTGACATGTCTCACTCGAAACACCTGACACCCCCTCGACACAGTCACAGTCTACTCACTCTAGACACTTTCCATTGAATCTAGATAGCAGTGCCTGCATCATCGCAGACGTGACCATGCAGGCTTGCACCACGAACTGATCCAACAGCCCGTTTGACCACATGTTCTGCCAATGCTCTCCTCTTCGAGCCGATCAACGTTTGTGCCGAGCTTGGGTGACCCCGGAGTCACTCTTGGAAACTTCTTCGCCGCGACCTCAATATCTGTACTTGCTCTTATGGCCGTATGACTGCAATTCTAAGCCACACCTCAGGAAGGGCATCTGCCTGGATATGTGTGCAGTGACAATGGCCCATAGAGGTCACGAAATATCATGTAGCTAGCGGTGCGATGACCGCCTAGCTGCATCGGGTTGCGAGAGACTACTGTAACACCCCGCTCTGCGAGGGCATCGCAAGCCACCAGCTGTTCATCCGAAAGCTTGGCCCAACCCCAGGGTGGTTTTGTCAATTTACGTGCTCTCCTATGCTCTCCTATCTATCACCTCAAGGAACGTTATATCATGTTGGAACCCCGGAAAGTGGACAGGTTTATTGGCCACATGGACTCTCGACCAGGCTCTGTACATTAAATAGTAGGGGATATTCGGATCTAGCCTCCATTTTTTCGTCGACCTCAACGAATGCTAGAACAGCATGTTGCAGAGTCGCAGGCTGGATCCTTGCACGGTTGAGGCTCGGGCAGTCAGAATAACAAGGGATGAGGATTCCAGCTCGGAGTGGCCAGCGCATGTCTTCCCACTGTGTGAGTTCGGCCTCGGCTTTGAGTTCAGAGAGGAGTCCCGCGACAGGCCCGGCTCCACACAAGACCACCATCACATCTGCTACCGCAGGCCCAAAACTTGCAAGGTTATAAGTCAAAACCAATCAAGACCGAGACTGTTTGAAGGGGGGTGGTTCGTCTTCCGGGAAGGACGGATGGGGGGGGGCGGGCCGAATCCGAAAGTCCCAGGTTATTGGAGACCAGCCACTAGCCTGCCAAAGAGAGCAGAGTTGCTTTGAGCCCATGTAAATCCTCAGCCCTCGGATTAGATCATTGCGTCTATGCCTCGTCGTTGCTGTCAGGCTTTCTTAAGTAGCTTCGGAAACCAAATCCACTGAATTTAGAAGGTAAGGGCATTGACGAGACTTTTCTTCGCGGGATCGTGCATGTTACATATATACATATATGTATATATATATATATATATATATATATATGCCTGTTGGTTCATCTCGAACCTAGCTGCTAACTTTCTCCATCATTCGAATGCGAAGTCGTCGGTTTGTACTGAGGTTTGGAAAGTAGTATGTGTAACTGCAGCAAAGCCGACGCCAGTCGGGGGGGGGCTTCTGTCTTTTCCGACCAAGCTGCATACTTCCGGGTGTAGGCGGCTTCTTTCTTCGTAAGCTCTGCAACCTACGAAGCTCGGAAGGGGGACGGAAGGCGATTCAGGAGTCAGCAGTCTGAAGTCCTCCTAAGGGCAGCTTGGAGTCAGAACCGGGGTCAGGAGTCCACATAAAGAATAAACAATTATGGAACAGTTCTTCGGAGATGACCCATAATCCGCCAGCATCAGCACCTCCACATTCACCATCACGACCACTGCCAATGACAACAACAGCAGAAGCACCCAGAACGACAACGACGAAGGCAAGGGCAGCAATACCAGCACCAATAATTACTAAAGTTACTACCACCAGCACCACCACCAGCATCACCGCCACCACTACCGTTACGTAACACAACCCTCAAGCCACAAGCAAGAAGCGACCCGCCACAAGCCACATGCGACACGCAACAACCACCAAGGAAAAAAACAAAATTGAACCACAGCAACACCAACACCAACAAAAGCAACAACAGCAGCAGCAGCAGCAACAACAACAACAGCGACAACAACAACAACAACAACAACAACAACAAGCCAAACAATCGTGTGTTTATGACTGAAGTCTATTTGATCTTCCTGGAGTGCGTGGGGTTTGTCCAGACTCCGTCTGGACCTTCAGCGAGCACACTGTAGATGCTCTCGTCCCTAAGTCATCACACTGAGGTCCTGACTACCGTCGCCACCACATCCACGCGCTGATTCCTTCCACCTCCAATCTTTAGGGTTGTATCAGGCTTGGACTTAGATGAGAGGGTTTCGGCGGTAGAGGAGCAGAAGGTGGAGCACTACTGCTACTGTAGGGGCAGGCGGCGGAGTACTACAAGCGGCGGACTACGACTACTGCTACTGCAGCTGAGGCTCGGCCGGTGACTCAAAGCCAAGCCAAACCAAGTCAAGCAAAACCAAGCTAAGCCATTCTATTCAAGAAGTCCTTTTCACCAGTGTGCCAGAGGGAAACCCTACTTTATGATGTTAAAACCCTATCTAATGGGAAAACCCTATCAAATGGAAAAACCTTATCAGTACGAGTACTGGTACTAGTATTTATATGAGTACTAATTTTTTAATGTTAGTATAGTAGTAGTAATAGTTGTTGTAGTAGTAGCAGTAGTAGTCGTACTGGTATTCGTATCCGTATTAGTCTCAGTATCAGTATAAGTATCAGTATTATTATTAGTATTGGTATTGGTATTCGTATTAGTATTGGTATTAGTACTAGTATCAGTATTAGTATGGGCATTAGTATCAGTAGTAGTAGTAGTAGTAGTAGTAGTAGTAGTAGTAGTAGTAGTAGTAGTAGTAGTAGAAGTAATAGTAGTAATAGTAGTAATAGTAGTAATAGTACTAGTGGTAGTAGTAGTAGTAGTAGTAGTAGTAGTAGTAGTAGCAGTAGCAGCAGTGGCAACAGTGGTTGGCAGGAGTAGTGTATCCGGTCCCTGCCTTTTGAGCCATCGCGGAGTTTTGGGCTGCCTCTGCGAAGCAATTAAAACACAGAAAGTCTCATCCTGTGACAGCTCTGAAGAGAACAATGAATGGGGCCGGTGAGCCTGTGTGTCTGATGATGCTGGTGACGACTACCACACAAGCAGCAGTAGTGGTAGTGCGGGAAGCATCATGGGAAGCATCAGCCTGGGGACCACCACCAGCCGCATCATCAACATCACCTTCCGCCTGGAGCTCATCGCCAGTGTCCCCTTTGTCATCCCGCAAGCATCATGATCTTACTCAAGGGACATCCGTGAAACCGGAGGTTAGCAAGTTGCGCGGTCGGCTAAATGAGAACTGCGCAGAAGTTGTGGTTCATCACCTGTGGCCTATATATGTATATATGTATATATGTATATGTATGTAAATATAAATATAAATATAAATATATATATATATATATACATATTCATATACAGATACATATACATAGATACAAAACGGGGGTCGTAAAGGTGGTAGCAGATGTAGCAGTAGTAGTAAGAGTAGTTGTGGTGGTCATCAGCAGATGTCAACTGTCATCATCACCATCGTCAGCATAGTCTTCAACCTCATCCTTAGCATCAGCAGCAGCACCAGCACCAAGATCACTAGCGTCACTAACCTCACAAGCCTCACAAGCCTCACTTGCATCACTTGCATCGCTAGCATCATCATCGTCATCAGCATCATCTGCAACACCTTCCTCATCATCATCAGCATCAGCATCGTCACACCAAACAGTATATCAGTGGTCATAATCCTTGTCGTCATCTTCATCATCGTCATCATCTTCTTCGCGGTCATCGTCAGTGCTTGAAAGCCTCTGTGGCCCCAGCGTTTGCGTAGAGGATTTCCAGACTTTCTTCCTGAGCCCACTGGCCAGTGGTCCAGGTTGCCGGTTGGGAAGAAGACATGGGTTGTGTGGACCAGCTCAGAGTCACGTGAACTACTCGTAAACCGAAGAAGCAGATGTGACGACGATGACGGCCATGATGGCGACGATATCCATACCGGCGATGGTGGCGTTGATGGTGCTGGTGTTGGTGCCGATGCTGATGCTGGTGGCGGTCTAAGCACTATGTACCAAGTACGTGTTTGCTTGACTCTTAGACTGCCAAGTCCTTTGCCAAGTCACTCCCGAGTCTTCTGAGCACCCGGCAACTGAAGACTGGAGATCGTGAAGTGCCTGACACATAGCAGGTGCGTGGCACGGAAGCGAAGGCACAGGAGACATTGCCTGGCGGTTCTCCTTCAAAACTTGGAGCTCTGCCTGCCAGTTGCAACGGACCGCGCAGCGATATCTTCGCAACACAAGCCCATCCTGAGCTTGGTCATACTTGTGAATAAGGTCATCGAGATGCTTCTGCACCTGCCAAACTTGCAAAGCGCCGTGCTGAATGTCTGTCGCGCTCTGTCATCTCACTGAGAGAAGCACGCCCGCGAGCTTCTGCTCCTCTTGCTCAAGTCTGGCCTGGGGATTGCGAGGTTAAAGGCAGATTCTTTAGACCTTATAACGGTCATGACTGGACCTCCGCTGTGGTCCGGAGCATTTCCTCATGCGCTGCATTCCTCCAATCCAAGGAAACAGCCCAAGCCTTGCGCGTCCGCAAACACTCTGTGCTTCGGCCTCTTCGCTTCTTCCAACTGCGCCCTCACCTGCATAGGGACCAGAAACATCCCTCGACGAGACGCACAAAGCATGGCATCGCGCCTTCGCAGCATCTTCGCGGGCCGTTCGCAGCTCCGTGGCTGTGGAGGCCTCAGACAAGGGCCCATGCTCATGGAATCGCAAGGGGCTGCGTGGTGCGTCGCGCTGTGCTTCCCGCCAGCTCTCGCTTCGTGGCTTGATGAGCGTCGTCCTTCACGTCGTCCAAAGTGCATTGCATGGACTCCATGGCTTGCCCGGAAAAGTGCTGTCTCGAGCCAAACGCCAAACCTGTGCGACGAACTTAGGACTGTGAATCTCCAGGCTGTCGGCGGCTTCTCGCACGCAGCTTTTTGATGCTTGGCCCTTGGCACAGATCTTCTTTGACCTGGCACGGCGGGCGCTGCCACGCTCCCTCAGCCTTCTGGCGGCCTTCCGGCTTCTCTTTCAGACTGAGCTGTCGGCACGTCGGACGATCAGGGAAACCACCTTCGATGGCTGCAAGGTTTCGAGTTCTGAAGCGACGCTGTCCAGACTTGTCGGGGACTGTTTTTTGCGCAGACGTTGCCAAGTCTTCAGCTTTTTGTTACAGAAAACTGGATTCTGGCAACGTGTCGCGTAAGCTCGACCACGTATACTTGTCGCATGACTATGAGTGGTCGCGAAAAGGCCCAACGGTCGCTGCCGTCCGCCTCTCGCCGTCCACCTCTCCGTCCTCCTCCTCCGTGTACATTGCATTCGCAGCCACTCATGCTTACAATGACGCTCGCCTCTGCAGTTTTGTGGGGCGGCGACGACTTGAGAGACGGAGATCTTTGCAAGCTGCCGAGTTGTGAAGCGCCAGCTACTACCGCGGTAGCAAAAATCACCGCATAACACCGCCTCTTTGCGGCATACTGCGGTCAGCTTCAGACGTTCCATGAAGAGCACACATGTGCATGCACAGTACTATTCAGAGAAAAGCTTCGAGGTAATGTGCTGAGGGCCCAATACTTGCACCGGTGTCGAAAAAGACGAGTCTTGGCAATTCTGTGCATGGGAAGCCAAAATGTCAAGCGGAGCCTCTTTGCTGAACGACATACTCTGCAAGCGGAGTCTCTTTGCTGAACGACATACGCTGCATCTAAACGACGCGTAATGTTTCAGAATGCGTGTTCTTTCCGCGTCTTCCGAGCATCATGAGCTGCCGGTGGCAGTCTACAGGCTATGCATGCCGGCGGATCAACAAACCCTGACAAAGAGATACATGGAATAGTCTAGAACCTACGGCATGAGTGTGAGGTGACACCTGTTGAACATGCTAGAACCTCGGTTCACACTCCTGCAGCAAAGGCCACGCGGAAATGAGCTTTTACCCGGATCGAACCACCCAAGGTCTGTCTCAAACTCCAACTACTTTCCAAATACCAACGACCCGATCAGAAGTCACACAACATTCGGTCAGTCATCCCAGCCGTCCCGCCCCATCCTTCCCTGGTCATCGTCCACTCATCGTCCGCCAGCGAAAGCCGGAGTTGCGGAAGGCGAAGACCGACTCTTTTGGAGACTTTTTCGAGGAAATGCTAACGGAAACTTGTAAGTGTGTGCAAGGTCAAATACACAACGACCAGCTTTCAGAAGACTGTCCTGCATCCCTGCAAGATCAAGACATCCAATCCGTCACGAAACTGTGGCCACTTCACAAGCGTGATACCTGGAAACCTTCTCCGAGTTACGGTCTGGCTCGCCTCGGGATGTGTCGCAGCACGGAGTAATGCTGCTTGCACGGCTTCCACGGGCAGATCCTGCAGAAAGCAAAGCTTTGAAGAATAGAAGGCAATCGGTTCCCGGGAATATTGGTCAGCTAATTCTGTGCTGCGGGCTGGCCTGGTGATCATCAGAAGCTACCTGCAGCGCAGAAACCATGCGCGAGCCGCCAAGACCGACAATCACGACTCCAGAATAGACGTGCATTTTGCTGTGATCCGCCTCTCCCCTCCTCTCCCCACCCAAAAGACCCATGCCAGCTGAAGACCGAGGCCTGGAGTGCCGACGCCAGGAAGTCGATGTTCTCGCTCGTCTCCAGCAGCTCCTCAAAGCACAGTGGATGCAGGGAAGCAGAATACGCGCCTGGGCGTCTCGCTTCGTCGGGATTGAGCCACCACTTTTTAGGCCTCGCAGTGGGCGCGGCGCATACCCTGTACCCTTGCAGCTGCAAAGAGCAGGGGCGAGCGGGGCTGCCTTGCTTCCACCAGTGGTGTTGCGAGGCATCGCGCCACGGCCTCATGGACCTCGCTGTGGCGCTGTGGCGAGGCAAATCAAGTACACTTGGGCATTGATCTCGGGAAGAGACCCGCTGCTCTTCATCGCCAGCCGCATCGAGCCACTGATTCACGGACAAGGACCTCAGACGAGTCCCGCACCGCAGGCACCGCACTACAGGCACTGCAGAGCACTTCGCTGCGACTTCTCTCTTCCGCGGACCCTCCGCCTCCCATCCCCGTCCCCTCACAGCTGCAGCTGGGTACAAGGCCAGCCCTCCGACAGGCACTCGACCTCTGCACACAGCGGAGCCCTTCGCAAGCTGCACAAACGGGGGGGCACCGAACTACCGGCACCGAGCCACAAAGTCTGTTTCCTGTTTCCGGACGAGACGCTGCATGGAACCAGTGCCGCGGCACGGCCAGCACATCCTGCATCGAAAGGTCTCGCATCTCGCACCTGCCTGTGCCTGAGCCCGAAACCTAAGCCCAGGACGCCGGGCTTTAGAATAACACCCACGCCGGTGCACCTCTGCTGAATACAAGGCTTGGGAGCTAATCTAGAATCTGTGTTGTGCCGAAGCACCCGGGCGGCAGCTGAACAAAGGGGTCCACATCAGTAAATGTGGAGGAGTCCTGGTCCAGAACACTGTACCTCATCTCTTTCAAGTCAGGTTACGAACCTCGTATGGGAGGCGGTGCGGGCCGAGCCATGTGCTGCTTGGCGGAAAAAGAAGCCTTGGCGAAGCGTGAGCGACTGGGGACTGCCTGCCTTTTAAAGTTCGAAGAAGGACCCACGACGCTCTGCCACTGAGCCGCCACACCAGAGTTTTTCTCCGGCTATTTGCGCGACCAGATTCTGTCCATATGCATCTTGGTGGCACCTGTTCATCGCGACTGGGTGTCTCAAACGGGACAACTCGCAACAGTCCTGCACAACGTCTGCTTGAGTCAGTTGCAGCTGCAAAGGCGCACCGACAAGTTTGCGGCCATTCCCATTACGAAAGCACGCATCATCACACCCTCAGGGTGTGGAGAGGCACTAACTCAGCCGAGAGCCAGAACCCAGTTGCTACAAGCAGCCTGGCTCTGCCCGGCACTGCATTATCATTGGCTGAGATGGGTTTCCCATCTTGCAAGCCCTGCTTGATATTTCGACGGTATGCTTGTTTCTTCGGCACATAACTTAGCGACTTAGTGGTGCAGCAGCAGCAGCAGCATCATCATCATGATCATGGTCTGGTGACCGTGGTTCAAACCATTGCATCTTCATCCGTTATCAAGGCCAGCCGCGGATCACTGACGCGGGAAAGTCTTCCTCACAGGCGACGCCTGGGCCGTGACAGCTGCAGAGTACGCGAGGACTCACCTTCTGCTCGTTCTGACACCAAGGATCGGGTGATCTCGGGCTTGACCCCGGACTAAATCCAGATCGGCCGGCAGACATCGGGCTCATGCCCTCGAAGCACAACAGCGAAAAAGAGTTTGTCAATCAGAAACTGTGGAACCCGATGTAAACTGCGACAAAGTGTCTCCAGATGGCGACTGGGCTGAGCGCGGGGAGTGTGGTTCGTAAGGGTTCTCCTGCCGCAGCCAAAGCAGCACAGAAATCGCTTGTACAAGAGCAACTTTGCACAAGCGCATATGTGTGCGTCTGTCTGAATTTTCCGGGGGCAAAAACCTCATCATCGGGAGGATATCCAAAGTAGTCGGTGCCATAACACTCAATGAAGCATACTTCACACAGACCTTGGAGAGTGCAAAACGCTTAAGACTGTGAGCTCCGAAGCACGACAAGTTGTTTGCGGGCGGGACACAGCCATGATGATGTCCTTTAGTAGCGGTGAGCTTCTGCAGCAGTTCAGCCTGGCATGGCTTAACTGCAGCATTGCTGTGATGAACTCTGATCTCGCCTTGACCGTCATTTCCCCTCCACCCTTATCCAAGTCGATTGTGATGATGCCTTGTTTCTTTCCTGACACTTCTGACACCGCAGAGATGCTGCAACAGCGACATCAGATGCGACCTAGGGCTTCCAGCCTGGACCCATGACCTTTCCAGCCGTGACCTGGAAATCCTCGGGATCAGTCTTTGCAACTGTGGGCATGCAGACTCAAGCCCACCATTCGGAAGACTGGTTTGCCATAGGTTGCCAACGAGAAACATCTTTGAGAAGCGATGCCTTTGACAGGTCCTGAGCTGGCGTTGAACGAAAAGTGTTCTTGGCGGAAGCACACTACACAGGAGATGGTACTCCAGTCTAGCAACGCGTCTTTGCCAAACAGTCTTGTACAAGGAGTGAGAAACTGAGAGGACGATTGCAAATTCGTTCGACGTCATACCCTGCTTTTCTATGACAGAACATACGGCCCTTGAGCTTCCAATGCTTCTGACAGTTCTGACAAAAGTGGCATCTGGACCCCACAGCTCCGACCTGCAAGTTACGCTGTAGCTGGTTTCCCTCGCCTGCTGCATCCTCTGTCTCATCGCAACATGAAGTTGTGATACTCCGTCTGTGGTCGCCGCCCGGGTTATACGGCCGCAGCCCGTTCTGGTTACAAGGCAGCGCAAAACATCCAGAGACGGCGATTTTGAGGAGCTCACGACGACTAGGGCTGGGGGCACGGAAGGAAGTTCGAGAACAGAGACCTTACTGAAACTTACCTGCATACTCACCTTCGCCGGGGTCGTCTGTTTTGTACTGCACTCACATCTGCATTGTCAAGCTAAGCTGCTGAAAAGAGCCGGCACTTGAGCCGAACGCGATCTCCAATTGCAAAGCCACAAAGGCGTGGATCTTCTTTGGTTACCTCACGCCTGAGCAAAGAGAACGCTCCTCCCGGCGACCTCAAGGGGATTGTCCGGGTCCAGCACTGTTCGATCCAGTGCGACTCCTCTCGGAGCAGCTGGTAGAACTCCTGGCATCTGTATAGACAGGTGTCAGAGAAAGGGAAGGTGAGACGGAGACGCGGAGCGGAGAGGAAGAGAGAGAGAGAGAGAGAGATGAAAAAGCAAGATGTACAGTGAGCAAGAGCGCACCCACACACACACACACACAAGTAGCCCCCCCTGCGCTAGAGGCAGAGCTCCGCGAAATCGATGCTTCCAGAATTGTCCGCATCGAAGCAGCGCAGCACGCCATCAAGCTCCGAAGGCGAAAGTGGACAGCCAAGGCGCCTGCATCTTGCGACTCAGAATCCCAGGTCCCGGCCCTACCAGTAGTTTCCCGCCTGAGAGCTGCAGCCATCTCGCCTCTGGTCAGGATCCCATCGCCGTTCTGCGCAATGGGGGAAGGCAAGAACCCTGGCTTCGACTGGACTCGGATCCTGGTCGATCTCGTGGAAGAGCTCGAGCTCGGAGAGGCTTTGCTCCTCAGCGACCCATGGCACTTGGCATCATTTGGCACATTGCATAACATGGCGCAACCGGCTCTCCAAGCTCCTCGATGTGTTGGATAAGGCCTTTGCGGATGCCACGGGCACTACTGCCGACTGCCGGCATCCCACAAAGTTCAACCCTCTGTGCAGGCGAGGCACTCACCAAGGCCTGCTTCAGCGGGGACTTCGCCTTCAATTCCTCCAGCTTCCTGCCGGCCCCCCATGAGTGCCCTGCATGTGCCTGCAGTGCCTTCAGCATGGTGTCTGTCCACGACTGGTCATCCCTTCGACAAGCGGCTCTTGCCGCGCCAGCTGCAGCTTCTCCGCCTGGAGGGGGCGTGGGGAAGGCACCCGGTAACTTCGGAAGAACCTGCTTGCCCTTCACATGGAGCATAGCTGGTCAGATCACGCCGATTGCAGAGGAGATTCAGAACAAACAGTGGTCCTCGAAATCTGCTTAGAAAAGTGACCTTCGAGTTGCACTTTAGATTGTTAAGAACTCGACTCCAAATCGGCACAGGCCTTAAAACTCCCACTCCATTGCCCATTGTTGCATCTGGCTAAGTTGCATATGAGCAAGGCTTGAAAGCTCGGAACCACTACCAGCATTCGGTTTCCAGCCACAAGTCTGCCTGCCTGCACCTCCGCCGGAGTTTTCTGATCTCTTCTTCGCTGGGCCTTCTCCCTTGCTTGCAAGTTGAGACTCAACTCGGGTGCTCATGTGCTGAAAACACATGCATGCAAGGCAAAAGAAAGCGTAGCCGAGACGCATCTGCTTTTGCGCTTTCTGCTGAAACCTTAAAGAGAAGCACCCTCAGCAAACAAAACCAAGCTACACAAAACGAATTTCACATGTGTAGGCAACCCGTATGGGAATGAAAGAACATCGCAGTCCTCTTATCGCAACTGAGCATCTGTGACTTCTTGATGTTGCACGGCGGGTCGCCCTCGAAGCCATTGGCTTTCCAACATGCATCGCACCCATCAGCATACTCCTCAGACAATACAAATCAGCCACAAGCTGTAGTCCTGGCACAATCCGCTGGGAGACACCGCCAGAAAGCAAGAGGGTGGTGATCACGCCACCACCTTGAGAGCATCTAGCCGTGGCTTTACAGCCAAGCACTTTGTGGAGTCCAGAACGCCGAGGGTCAAGCAATCGGCGCAGATCTGCTTCTTCTGCCCGGTCGAACCTCTCCTGCCTCCCGTCGCCTCTCAATGATCAGCGCTGCTGCAAAACCTGCGGTGCCTTGAGGAAGGTATCCGGTGCCTTGATGAGCGCCGCTAAAGCCTTCTCGTCAAGCTGGTCATCGTCCCCAGCTGCCGCTGGGGCTTCCGCCATCTAACCAGCCGGCCGCAGCATGCGAGCTTCTTGAAAAGTATGTCGAAAGGTGGTCACATTGACATAGTCTAAATGCTGCTAAACCAAGCTGCCTGAAAGTACTGATGCTTGTTACGGTTCTGATAGTATTGGCTGAGGCGGCAAAGCATCGAAGGTAGCATCAAAAGCCACCAACAGTTCTCACGCACATGGCAACAGCATCCGGGGCACGGAGTGCGAGCGCCCTGGCTGCCTGGGAAGTCGTCGGTAAGAGGCTTGGAACTTTGCCGGACAACAGGCCCCTGCCAAGCCACAGCGTTGGTGCGCCCGGAACGGAAATGGGGCGCTTCTCCTGATGCTGTGTGGCAGAATAGCTCAAGTGCGCTATGGCACCACTCACACCTGCCTTATAGGACTGCGTTCTTACAGTCTTTGAATAATATCCTCATCCCAGCTTCTAGATTCCAACATCTAGTACAAACTCGGTGCCATGGGCAAAAAGTGGCAGGCCACCCTGGCAGAGTCTGGGTTTCGTTTTGGGATTAAGTGCAGCAGCTGCTACATGCAAAAACTGAAGACCTGCACATGAACCGTGCCGATCCATAGGCCGGAGGGGTGCCGGTGGGGCAGAGCCAAATCTCGCTAGCCGCTAGTCTTCACGAAAGCTCCCCCGCGCAATCCAGAACCCCGAAAACAGCACACCCCGAAAGGTGAAGACAACTTAAGAGTAGAATCACAAGACGAAACAGGCTGTGGGCACATTGCAGACAGTGAGTCCTGTGTCAGCAGCTGACTGAAATCTGCAGAAGCGCGATTGGAGTCTTTCAGGTCTTTGAAGAGCGCCTTCATTCTCGTCCCCCGACTCGTCCCCCTGAACCGGAAGAGCCCAGCAGCCCCCCTCGAGCCTCAAAGTGCTGATAACCGCAATAACCTTGGTGTCACGAAGCCAGGGACGAAGTCTGACAGCCGTGGCCTGAGCAGCGCACCCCACGACGAGGCCTGCGGGAAGGGAATGGAGGCCACGTCCTGGAAAGATGCCAAAGCGCAGCCAGGGGACTTCTCGACCTTTCGCTCTCTCAGTCCCCGCCTCGCCACTGAGCCAGGAACAGAAATCAGCCAGCCGGATACCAGAAACACGTTCGCATTGGCCCTGTCCATGCAAGCACACTGCAGATGCAAAGAACAGATTCCTAACAAAAAACCTGCGCACCAGACATGGCCAGTTGCCTCCCAAGGTGTTCTTTGCACCTCGGGCAAGCCAGGGCTCCGCCGTCAAGGATTGCACCGTAAAGTTCCAGGGCCGACACCGAGGAACGCGGGCCAATTCGCAGCGAGACCAATGAATCTCCATGCCTTCGAAGGCTGCTGGAACTGGAACGCTCAGGAGGCCATGGGACAGCTCTCGAATCCGAGCGTCAAGCTCCTTCTTCAAGGCCTGCTTAGCTGCTCCGCAAACCGCACTGCTTTAGCGTTGCCACAGCTGGGCACAAGATTGCACAAGCCATGGGGCCGTGTCCGAACCTGCAGATTGGCCCAACGCAGCGATGGCCAGGTGCAGGCCCTGGCTTTCGAAAGGCATAGCAGCACAGCAAGTCTTGGCAAGTCATGGCAAGTCTGATAAGGCGGTAACTCCGCAAGCTCTCGCTTTATGTCCATGCGCTTCATGGGGTCAGACTATGGACAAGATTTGGTGCGGTGGCTGCACGCCTTTACACCAAGCGCCTCAGCAAACACCTTGACTCCGGGAACGGCTAAGATCCCACTTATCGACGGTGAACCATCGCGAGCCTGGCACTGCTTGAGCACTCATGATCTGTGCTCAATACAGTGCATTGCCGCGGAAAGTGAGTTGCACGTTTCATGGGACATTCCATGATTTAATACCTGTTTAGCACCTTGAATTGGGATCTGTTGCGGACTCCAACCACGACTGCTGTAGTCGAACAAAAACCACTCTTTCAGGAGCTGAAGCGGATCGAGTCCTAGGCGTTTGTATCAGGAAGAAAGCACAAGAGCTAAGATGAGCCCACTGATCATCATCGTTCAGCTGAGTGAGGGAGTGAGTGAGTGAGCGAGGAAGTGAATGCAGGGGAGCGAGAGAGAGGGACAGCAGAGGGACAAAACAGGGAGGAGAGAGGAAGCCCGCCGATTTCAGGGTGTGTCTTTGGAGGAGCAGCGGCTACAAGGTGAGCGCCCTAAAGCACCCCACCGCGGCAAAAGGCAGCCTCAATCTTTGAAAGGCATCCCAGGCATGCAAAAGGCACCCCATGCAAAGTGAATCCCCAAGGTGACGCGTCTGCGACGTCATATTCTGAAAAACTGTGCGTAAACGTCGCGCACGACATGGCTCAAAACTGTGTGGTGTATGACGTGGTGCACATCGCCGAAATCACCAAGTAGACGCCCCGGCAACCACGGTCGGAAAATACTAGCATTCTGCAACTAGGCGCCTCGGTTTCAATTAAGAGAAAAAAGCTCACAACGATACAAATGATGTAACGTAGTAGAGAAGCGATAGGCTGTACGGCGGGCTTGCATGCAGGGAAAGGAGGACGGCGGAGGTTGGGAGCCTACCGTGGTGCACGTTACGAGCGCCGGTTCTCAATAGGGTTTCGGGTTTAAGGCTTCAGAACTTCCAAGGAGGGAATAGAGAATGAGTTGCAGGGACTGCTATTTTCTGCCTTAGATAACTATCCTGGGAACCCATTGATAGCTCAACCCATTGAAACCCCAAACCGACAAACAAACGGGGCCTTGAGGGGAGGGTGGAGGGGGCCTTGGAGGGGGGTGAGCAAGGGGGCCTCCCCCGAAAAGCTAAGTCTGTGAACGAACCAAGCAAAAGGGGGGCAACCCCCCGCAGCGAACCTGGAAGTCCTTGATATATCGCACAAAAGAAGGCCTAATTTGTCTAAGAAAGAACAATGTAAACACCAACTCTCGGAAGCTCCAAGGAGCTAGCTTTCGTGACCGGCCTGACCTCATTGTGACGCGCGAACTGTCGAAAGTCACATAACGTACCAAAAAGCCACAGCACCACCCATTTTGGACGGAGAGGAACGTGACACAAGGACCGCGACCTAAAGCGACCAATTGTAGTTGCTGATTTGTGAAGCAAGGGCCCGTGCAACTTCAAAGGACTAGTTCGGAATCAAATGCGAAACTCCAGTGTGACACTGCATAAACAAGCATGCAAGATGTTATCACAATAGTTCATGCGCGTTATGCGTCGACAGTGCGTCTCAACGCGTTTCAGCTTTGTCACGCGGGATTGCTAGCGCGCAACGACTTCGGACTGGCACACAGTAGCATCGGTCTGCGTTGGATGAAACTGCCCCGAACGATGACCGCAGGATGCCCGTACGATAGTCTGTACGATATCCAGCCCCCCATGAAGGACAGATAGATCCCTGCCAATTAACCATCATGATGTTCCTGCTCCTGAACACATGTCACATTACGCATTCTGCATCTAGACGCCTGGATTGCAACTGCTACGAAAATTAATGAACATGGGCGGGATATACCGCAATCACCCAGGTGACGCCCCTCGCGGGACGCCTTTTGCATACCCGGGACGCCTAAGTCATGCACCTGGTAGCAAAAGCCACTGCTAGTAGCTGCAATTCCCTATGACCAACGCTCACTTTCCGCATGGTGAGGGCAGCCGGTCGGCAGTTCAGAATTAGTTCGAGAGACTTACTTTGCATGCCGGCCGAGTTGCACATGCTGCACAAGTGAAACGCAATCAAATCTCGGACTTCATCGCTCACGCATCAATGCCGGCAAGGCGGAGGAGAGCACCTGCAGGCGAGTCGAGATCAAAAGCTTCCCGCTTCGAATGCTGTCTTGGCGCAGTGCCGGCATTCATCTTGGTGATCATGGCGTAGAGCGAGGGATCCACCTGCTGCAGTTGCCGCGTTCTCTCTGCCTACAGGGCTGTGAAGACCGTATATACTGAAGCAGTGCCTGGTCTAAATTATCTGCAGACTGGTGGTAGTGGGGGTAGCCCTCATCATCCCCGTGGATAGAAAGAACCTTGGCACGGTTGCTTCGGAGAAGAACAGGGAATATCAAGCTGCGAAAGTGCATGCAACGCGAGATGCAGGCATGCTGCACTGTGGATGCCCTTCTGCAAGAAACTGATGTGATCAGATCCGAAGGGATTGTTACTGTGCCTGGGCGCAGCGTCTGGCGCATGCATGCGCATGCAATGAAGCATCTGGCTTATCGAGCCCGCAAACTTCCCAAGTTTCAAAGGTCAGAAGGTGGCTTCCCGTGCATCCGAGTGACGTTACTTTCAAGCCCTTTCCGTTGTGTGCCTGGCTGGCACCCGCGAGGTGGTCCAGCACATCTTTTGCCCAATCATACGACCTCGTATGGAAGCCCAGCTGGCATCTTACACTGCAGGTACTGTCAGAATGCGCTGATCAGACACCACCCGAGACAGAAAGGAGACCCGCAATACATCTAATGCGTGTGGGTAGCTCAAGATTGACGACCGGGCCTGTGCGCAGCACATGTCAACACTCGATCGTGCGCAGCACATGTCAACACTCGATCATTGACATCCGGACGCAACAACAGCCACCTGTGCTCGCTTTTATGTTCGTGCTGCGCCAGGCAATCTCATCCATGACGAGGGCCTAAACGAGAACAAAGATGCAACAAGGGCAGTCATTCGTTCAAAGATCTGTGGCACGAGAACGCTGAAAGCGAAAATTCCATTCCACGGCCTGATGCTTGGCCTTGTTTCGGGAGCCCTTCCCCCGAGTGTTGGCCTTCGAGCAACGCGCTTAGGAACCGCAGCTTGCAGATCGTCATTCGTGGAACCACTCAGCCTCTAAGAAAGAAGAGGCCGGCTCCTCACCACAAAGCCTTGGCAATTCGGCACGGCACTCGCCGCAAACGTCGCAAGCACGGTCCCTGCTGAGGCTGCAGTGTCCCTGCGGGTGCCTGGTGAAGAGTTGCTGGCTGAAGTTCGAGCCGGCCTGCAATGGCAGAGCGCAGGCCGGCGCGGCTCCAAACTGCGTGAGTGATGGCTCGCGGGGGGGGGGGCGCCTCTGCGAAGCTGGTGCCTGCTGATGACTTCATGAGACGATTGGCATACTCCTGCCGGGACCGCCGAGACGGCCGGGACGGGTGTTGCACGAGTTTTCTCGGCGGCTCCACACGAGGCTCCTCGGAGCCCAGCAGTCCAGGCTCTTCTGCAGCGAAAGCCGCGAAGAAAATGCTCTTTTGAGGCTTGACCTGGCTCTACGGCGAGAAGCTGCTATCCGCCGTCAGACATCGCACAAAGACCCTGCCATAGTTGCACCATGAGCTGGTCGCTCTTTTTAAGCCCGCCGGATCAGCGTCATGCATAAGAGGGAAGATTCATCCGCTCCGAAGGCGTCGGGCCCGAAAAGTCGGATGCTAGAGCCGCTACCACACGGGCGTCACATGATCTCACCTTCTGCATCGTCCTGAGCCACAATGTGCAAGCATCATGGTGACGAGCCTCACTTTCGCTGCTCCACTGACATGCACTGATGTCAGGAGTCATTATCACTGATGACGCCAGCATCGCGAGCTTCTTTGGCCAGCTTTGGAGGAAGCGCACCTGAAGAAGGCGCATCCGGAGCAACTAGATACATCTCTGTTGTTCATCGACCCCGCCTCCTTTCCGGGCTTCGTCGACCCGAGCTACAAGCTCCGCAAGCTTTACAAAGCTGGGGAAGCCAGGAGAGTCCTAGCATCGAGCTGGTGATTTCAAGCCACGAAACTCAGCATCCATCTGCTCAAGCCAAGGAGCCACGACCCTGAGGGCACGAATTTCGCTTAATGGCACATCTGTGTAGACGAAAGGATCCACATCTGAAACATTTTCGCCATGCCTAAGTTCTAGTCTGACAAGCAACTCGTGAGGTTCTTTACCGTTGGCCTGGCATCGGAATAAAAGCCCAGTCCAAGATTCTGCACGTGCAAACACACGCCGAACTCGTCAGGCCTGAGGCTCGAAGCATGCACAGAATCTGCTGCGTTAAACCACATGCAAGTAGGGGACATGAGGGCAATGCTTCGAGTACCACGCTGCTCCTGGCATTTGCAGGAGCACGAGCTTTCGGCAGGAAAAAGTTGGATAAAAGGAAGCAACAGCCGGTCAAAAGCCCGCGGTCCATCAACTCCATGCACCAGTCGTAGTCTTCCCCCAGGGTTTTGTCTTGAAAGGGATGCTTCAAGGCGATCTCTCTATTGTAGATCAGCGTGAAGCCAAACCTCAGGTCGTTGGGTTGTCCCCGGAATTTTCACCTTACTGTGTTGCTTCTGCCTCTGCCGGCTAGCCACAAGCTGGCTCGGGAGAGTCTACTCGCTGCTCGCAGCTTGCGCGCTCAGAATTGCAATTTACTCGCACGCGTGCACGCGAGTTGAAGCGCTCGCAGGCTCTGCCACTTGCTGCTCGGCACTTGCAAGCCAATTTACGTTTATCCACACCCAAACGAAAGCAAAGAATCGTGGTGGCACTTGTGAGCATTTGACAAGTGGCAGGGTGTGTGTGAAAGTTTGGTCGAACAGGGCTTCGGCTGCACAGGGGCACCGATA